GCCCATGCGAATAATTCGCCTAGAATATTGGTCAGCGAACAACCGACAATATAATATAAAAATAAGTTAATAATATATATTATGACATAGAAGAAATGTTGTTTTATTTTTTCAGTCAAATCACATTATTTCATTCATAATAATATTACCAAACGTGTAAATTACTACCTAGTTCTGCCATAAATACTATTACAAAAGTTGAACCTAGTTTACATCCTTGGCTATTATTTAGATAATCCTTATCTCTACCAGGTTATTTTCTTTACGTCAGGATAATAATCCCAATTAGTTTGTATTTTTCTTTCGCTCAGTTAACATACAGTGGGCTGATAAAGAAAACCGAATAGCTGTGATCGCCTTACACAAAGTTGGAAAATGTAAGTCGGAGATTTTCAACACTTCGAAACCTTTGGGTATCAGCCGTATGTTCGTGTACTGCACGGGCGGATTTATGGAAGGAGGGGGAGGCTTTGAGGCTGAAGCCCTCCAAAACGGTAAAATCATGTTTTATGGAAAAAAATATTAAAAAATTATCTCTTAAAATATTATTGTTCGTGTAATTACACTTAAAAGGACTTTAGGAATCACTTAAACACCATTTCATATAGGTAGTTAGTTTCTTTCCAACTTTTTTTCCAAAGTAATTATCGTGATTTGTATGAAAAAAAAGCTTTCGGGCTGAAGCCCCGTCAAAATTAAAACCTGGGTCTGCTAGTGAACCGCACTATGAATAGATATAATGAGACCCTATCTGTATGTGACAGACAGTGAGAATGGCAAAGACAGTGAGAGTAGTGTCTGCTGGAATCAGAAGAAATCCCATTCGAAAGCAACAAATCTTGTCTCGGGAAATGGGAATCTCAGTAAGATCAATGTCTCGTATAATAATAAATGACCTTAGGATGGGAGCATTTCGAAGAAAGACAGGCCAATGGCTAAACACTTCTTTAAAAAAAAAAAATAGAGTGGATGGATGCACAGTGCTCATTGGCCGTTGCAACAATGGTTTTCATCGAAAAAGTTTTGCAATTGAAGAAAAATTTAATCACCAAAATGATCTTGTGTACGCACACAGCTCTAAAGAAGCCTAGGAAGTCATTGGAAGAGTGGAATGAGGTCATCATCCTTGCTCAGTGATAGTTTGATGGAGAATTTGCTTTGATGGCACCACAAAGCTCCATTTTTGTGAAAAAGGAGTTAAAACAAGCCCTAAAAATTATCAGGACGATATTTTGGAACCTGTTATCGATACTCTAAATGATACTCCGTTTGCTAGAAGTCATTGGGTTTTCCAAGAGGATTCCGCTCCAGCTAACAAGACCAGGTCAACTCAGAAGTTTCTAAAAAAAGAACATTCCACAGTTCATCTCTGCCTCAGATTGATTCTCAGGAAACCCACTAGATTATCGGCTTTGGTCTAAACTGGCGAGGATGGCACGCCAGAGAGCACATGGTAACTTGGAAAGCCTCAAACAATCTGTGGTCTTAGCAGTTGAGTGCTTTCCTCAAGAAGTGCTGGGTGCTGCTATTGATGACTGGCCATGGAGATTAAATGCCTGTGTCAAGGCAAAAGGGGGACATTTTGAGTAATTTCTTTTTTGTTTTACTCTCTATTGATATGTATTTTACTTTTTGATAAAGGTTTTGAAAAACTTAATTTTTCTTTTGAAATCTGTATATATTTCTTGTAACAATATTTATGACAGGACTAGGTTTAGGTTGTATGTTTATTAATAATGATCCGATTTCCATGATTTGTTTTAAGGGGAATTTAATCAATTATCAAATAATCATTGGTCTAATAAAGAAAAAAAAATGTATACTTTTTAAGTTGTTTGCAAATAATGTTTCTTACCGTTCATTAGTTTTTTTTACTGAAATTTGTGGTGAATGTTACTGTCATTCATAACTACTCTATTTATAAAAGCCTTGTCTCCAATTTGTATCGCTAACAACCCATGAAGGATCTTGGGTTCAGTAAGTATGAGAAAGTACTGTTAATAGGCCAACTGTTGTGCAGGGAGGTGAATGGGTCGGGATCTAGCTCTACCGCTAGGTTTTTCTCCATAATTAATTATTTAATTAAGAGTACCCACTTTTTAGAGGCTGGGTGTGCCCCCGGAGGGTTTCCTGTCCCCAGGGTCGATCCACGGCTGATGAAAAATTTCTAGTTATAAGCTTCATGGAAGGTAATAAAGCACAAGAAAAACTAAAAAACGGTTAGGAAATACTCACTGCAAGTTCCCAAACTCAGCGCTGAGCTCGTCAATAGTATCGGAGCCCCCTCTTAACTGGGCGACAGGATGCCATCAATGAGCTCAGCACTGGTTAAAAGAAGCTTGCCGGCACCTACTGAATTGTTGAATTTCAAAACAATTCCTAGTTCATTCCTAAACAAAATTTAATTTGAAAAACCGATATTTTTAAAAGAAACAATTTTTTCTTCTGTTTAAAAATAAAACTAGATCCCTCTTGTGCCTTGTGGGAAACCCAAGGAAGTGTGGTCCACCATGTATTCTCCAAACCTGTATTGAAGTGGGGCTCAGGGTAGACAGCACAATTGATTGAGCAATATATAATTTGAATTCATCAATAAATATTTTTGCTTGTTTTGAAAATGAAATGTTCTCCTCTAAGCATAATACAGCTAAATTGAAATATGTTTAAGGAACCTTTAGCTTTTATCAAAGTGACTTGTGCACTATAAATATAATGATATTTTGAAATGTGAAAGGTTTAACCAAATTGACAGGAAGACTGAAAAGGGATGAAATCCATCATGTTTACACTATATACTTCATTAGTTCTTGGAGACACAATACATTTGATGTTCAGGGAAGCATTCAGAGCTAAAATGCTTAGCTGAGGCATCCATGAGTAAAAATACTGTTCAATATTTACTAACAGAACTTTACTGACTGTATGAATATAAAACAATTTAATTATGAATTACTGAATATTCATTAACAAAATTGGGGTTTTTCCACAAATTGAAAAATAAAATTTATTTTGAGGAAGTAATGAGCTTTTTTTGTATAAATGAGAAAACCAATTTAAAAATTATTGAACAAGTTGTTTTCATGATTCAATGTCATAATACAAAGTTGCCAAAAAATCAATTATCAAAGTCTATAAAATATTGATTTAATTAACAGACCATTAACAAGTTATCAATAACTGCATTTGAATGACTTAGGTTTTTCTACAAATTGCTTATGGTAATGTCATCAAAATTATCTTATATTCAAACATTGGAGGAAAATTCAAAATTAGTACTAAAGACTTAGCGGGACTGTGATGAATGTTGTAATGAAACGAAAGAGAAAAATATTGATATATATTAATGCTGCAGAAATCGTTAACCTCCATAAAGTAATCTAATGTATTATAATGAGATTAATTGAAAGATCAATTGTCTGTTCCTCTAAAACATTAATCTTTTTAATCAATTAAAAATAAATATTAATTGTTAATTTTTTGGACATAATGCACTAGGTCTCCTTTGAGCACCTTTCTATTCTTTGTAAAAACTGAGTGTCAATCTTTGCATATTAAGAGATATAATAATTGATTTATTACTAATCATGAATAAATCATTCTTTATGATTCATCATTTTAATTAATGATATATGATAAATATAATAAGCATAATATCTAACATTCTTCTTTGGAATATATAGGAAGTATAAAGGGCATTACGAAAACAATTGTTTGCATAAAAAAAAATATATATTATCAATAAAGTTAAGCAACAAGATGAAGCTATATACTTCATAACGATTATACTGAAATAACAGTTTACATTATAAATAGCTTGCTCTACAGAAAAATATCTCTTGAGTTAAGACTCATCTATTCGAAACCTAATACTTAACCATCCCAGTATTGCATTTGAGATTTATTTGGTTGGTGTAAAGGAGCAAGATTATTTGACCAGATGACTTGACATATGATGCAGTTTTGAAACCTATTTTTTAAAATAAAAGTAGGAATATTGTCTTACTATAAATACATTAGGAAGTTTCTTTGATATTTAATACAGAATGAAAAACAAAAAAATTTTTGGGGTTTGAAATGAATAAAATGAAATGCCAATGGTCAACCAATTGAAATTTTTAATGTCAATCTAAAAGTTAACAGCTAAAAAAATGAACTACCTGATCTGATTTATGTATTAATTTAAAAAAAAAATTAACTATTATGACTTTAGTCCTCTCTTAAATAATTTAATGAGTTGTTTTGGTTTATTACATTACAGTGACATTTTTGATAGAGTTGAGCTTTCAAGATCGTTATTGTGAATTTCATCGTTGTTTATTGATAAAAAAAACCACAATTTTCTGATTTTACAAAGGAAAAATTCATCAAAATTTGTTTAATGACTCAAGGTTATGAAATGCCACTTGATGACTTATTACAATATAATGACAATATGTATTATAAATATATTGTATGAATTTAGAAGGGTGAGAAGGAAATTACAGGTAAATGATGTAGATAAGTAATTACTATTGAATTTCCGATAAATTTTGTATTTAAAGAAACTTATCAGGCTAAAACAGTAAAATATAACTTATTGTCCAATAATGAGTTGTTGTAAATCTAAAACGTAATTGGATCTAAACATCAATGATAATAAATAATCTTTTATTTTTGGAAAATATAACAGGAATGATTATGTAATAAAATTATTATATTACAACTTAAATTTAATATATATAAAGTTAATGATGTTCTGTTGAGAAAACAGTCTCAAATTACTTTGTTTTAGCCTATTTCCGCATCTCTGCTAATCAGATGTCTGAAAAAAAAGGAAGATACACATCACAAATGCAGTCATGAGATTAAAATGATTTGTTTAAATTGTTTAGTCTCACCAGAAAAAAAAACATAAAAAATATAACTTTAAAACTAGACAGACAAAAAGAGAATATAAATAACAAATGCAAATATAATAGCTACCGAAAGATTTAATCTTTTTATCACCTGATTGTAAAGTAGATTTAATTGACTAGGTAATCAGTTAATTGTATAGCGGAAGCACTTGCAGCCTCATCGAATAACAGCTCTCAAGTTTAACTGGCCCTGCCTCTCAGTTCTGTCAACCTGTTTCTGTAATTAAAATTGGAAAACTTTAATATTATATTAAACATCATTGAAAGTATAATACATATGCCTGTTTCTGTTCATAATAAAATTTGAAATTTGGAATTTCGATTATATCTCAGGGCTCATTCAAACATTTTACATACTACTTAAATTCAACCTATCTAAGCATTTGATGGTATAATCTAATATTAATTTTTTAGACCAGTTCTCTAGTATAATATTTTATCTGTCATGGTCAATCATTGCTGTACTTCAGTAATGAACTCAAATCATTGCCTCATTTTAAATTAACACGGTAACTTTCATGGATACATATTCACCTACTAACAGTTTTACATGAGCATAAAAATTCTAATGGATAAAATTAGCCCAGTAACCTTATCATGAAAAGGGGAGTCTAAGTAGCATTGAATGGGGATAGGTTTCTTTTTTTTTTTCTTGTATAGGATGTGACTGAGATGCGAAATCCAAGTTTTTGACATCGGCGTCCCCCCTGGATCACTTCTAAAAATCCGCTATATTTTTCGTTTTTATTCCATTTTGACTATGAAGCAGTATGTTTTCGACAAAAAACGTTCTATACATTTTTAAACTTAATTAAATCTGCTACAATTTATCAACAGAACAGGCTCAGTAAGTAAATGAAATGGTTTACGAGATACAGATTTTCAAATTTTAGACAATTTTCGAACTTGAAAATTTTAAAGGAAGGAGATGGTCCGGGTGGTGGTGGTCATAAATAGGCTAAATAGTGGCAAAACCATTTTAATTAAAGCCAACGTTTCGACCCGACTTTGCTGGTCTTCTTCAGGGAGGTGTGTTCAGCTAGGAGTTTCACTTAGAACTGTGTTCTAGAAGGAGTTTCACTTAGGACTGTGCTCTAGAACACACCTCCCTGAAGAAGACCAGCAAAGTCGGGTCGAAACGTTGGCTTTAATTAAAATGGTTTTGCTACTATTTAGCCTATTTATGATCGCCACCCCGGACCATCTCCTTCCTTTATAATGCAACGCTCAACTATTAAATATTCAATAACCTGTCTTATATGATTCAGTAAAGTAAATTTTTATTCATTTTAACATTTTGAAGGAGAGGTTTGGTGGGAAGGGGAAAGATCTCTTTTCACAACTAGAAGACTGAAATTAAAATTAAAAAAAAATATATATATATTTAACCAAAATTTACATCAAATGCATACCAAAATGGCAAATGACATTTTTTTAACTTGAAAAAGCTAATAGCTAATTCATGTTTATGTCTTCAATAATCTGCTTTGTAAGAATTAGTGAAGTAAACATTTATTCAAGTTATTATTTTGAAGGAGTAGGATATATAGATATAGGAATGGCTATAAATAATAGATAAAATAAGCGAGCTGGAATGACTTAGGTCATTGATTGAGTTTGATATTTTTAGTAGAGGCCTATACGATTAAGTGCATTTTCTAAAGAATTGTTTCAATACATTAAAAATTAATCAGTGATTTAGAAAGATCTATGTACTCTAGATGTTTTTATTTTAGGACGTTGTAGGCTGTTTAATTACAAATGACGCTTTATTTTTAACTTTAGTTTAAATAACTTGAAAATATTGCCTTTACTGATATTTTTTATTGCCAAGGACAATTATTTTTTAAATTTGTTTGATGCTTTATTATACTCTGACTATCCAGCTTTAATAAAAGACCAATTATGACAAAATAAGGCCAGCTCCTGAATCTTAGTGACTGAAAAACGAATGCAAGTCAAAGTCGTCACTCAACCATGTCAGGACAGTGCGGCCACTTTTTTTTGTGGGGACATTGCTTTCTTTTTTAATTATATAGTTACAAGAAAATATATATTAAAAAAGGAAGAGAGGACGCCCGCCGACAAACTGGGACAAGGATATGAAGAAGACCTACGGGGGAGCAGCCTGAAAGAGAGTAACATTGGAGAGGAAAGAGTGGAAACGGATGGTACAGGTTCATTACCTGTGGTTGGTTGTAAGTTTAAAGAGCTAGAAAAAAAAAAAGAAATGAAAGAAAATCAAACTAAAAACCTCAACTAAAATGTTGATTTTGTACATATAAGAATGTTAGGTATAAATCAAAATGTAAAGATTTTGTATATATCTATTTTTACCCATTTTTTTTTGCATTGTATGTACAAATAAAGGTTATAATTATTACAAGGAACACAACGATTTACAATTTATAGGAATGTGGAGAGACGGTGCACGGAAAGCGGTTCTGGCCCATGGACTACCCTCTTCCACTAAATTCCTCCTCTTCCCATCACCAATCCTTCAAAATATTAAAATGAATAAATATTTAATTCGCTGACTCATATCAGACCGAGGTCGAAAACTTGAATTTTGCGTCTCGGTCATATCGCATACAACAATATAAAAAGAACTTCAACCCACATTCAATGCAATTAATGATGTACAGTACAAGGGTATTGGGCTATATATGCTACTGGTTAAAAAAGTAATAAGATATCCTGAATGACTGATATAAATAATTACAATCCTTGATCATATTTTATATTTTTTGTAGTAACAAAATAGATTATCGAAAATAACAAAAAAAAATAATGCACTAAAAATCATTTCATTTAATCAAAGATACTACATAGGAGAGAAAATATGATATTACTCAATATATTATATTTGATATGCAAAAAAAAACAAAAAAAAAAAACAAATGTGTGTGTGCACCTTTTGAGCGAAAGTTAACAAAAGGCTAAACAGTTTGAAATATCAAAAATTTCAGCTTTATGTGTAAAAGTATGAGTTCCTAATGACCATGACAGAATGGTTGTAAGTAGTAAGCCTTTACATTTTAAGGCGTTATTGGAATTGTAAGTGTTAATGTTCTGAACATAAACATAAACACTTACAATTCCGATAAGGCCATAAAATGTAACACAGTTACAATGAAAGGCGTTCAGCACAAAAAATAAGTTGTCAAATGTAATAATTCATTCAAAGTTATGGGGGTTAACAAAAAAAGTAGAAAGTATTAATGAAAGTCAAATGCTAGAAAAAGAATCACATTCCTATTGAGTGAATAACAAAAAAAAAAAAAATCATAAAAGAAGTTATTACATAAAACTTACCACTTCATATAAATTTTTAAAAGGCCTCTTCAACAGATTAATTAAAACTTTTTGATGATTTTGAACAATGGTTATCTTCAATCATCTGAAAGTACAACAAAATTTTAAAATTTCTTTCTATCATTTAAATAAGAGTCAAATTAATTCTAACTGTACTGATCACAAAAAAAATAATAAAACAAAACAAAGACAGCTCAAAGAAGGAGGGAAAGAAAAATAGCGGAGTTGGTTGGCAAAAATTACGATATATTGATAAGGACCGAAAAGATATTTAAATATTAATTTCTGCTATGATCTATTTGCAATGTGTGAAATTTAACGACAGTTTTGGGAGAAACATTATCTGGTGGCTCGATCTCTCTTGTTAAAAAGGGATATGTTTAGAAGTTAGTGAAATAGGAACATTTCCCTGACCCTGCACTTTCTCCGAATACAATATTTAATCAATTATCTAAGACATTTTTTATTTATGCCCCTTCTTATATTTCCCATGAACACATTGAGCGCTATTGACAGCTGGGTAAAAATTCAGAGCTGTTGAATTCAGCCAACATCTATTTTTTGTTATTGGCATAAAATATTATATTAACATCAACAATCGTATCATAAATGCCTACTTTCCGGATTACATCACTTATAATGCGGGTGATCCCAGGACTGGAAATTTTTAGTGTTTTTTTAAGTAGTTAGTTTTTTTATTGTTGTAATTAAAAAGTATATAGATTTCATTTTATGAATTACATCCAATTAAAGAGGGGAGTGTAATACTTAACAATAGAAAAGTTTTTAGTTTTCTGGCACTTTTTTAAAGAGAGATGGTTATATCCATTACAAGAAAAAATAAATAAATAAAATGATTTCATACTCTATTAAATCATGAAAAATCTATAGAATTAGAAAAACAGTCGTATGTGTTGGTGAGAAATAGTTCTAACTAATTAGATTTGCTGTCAAAGATTGACATGCAGCTACTGAAACTGAGTAACTCAATTAATCGTTATCCTAAATATAGTTTAACAGTAAATGTGTTTTATTATAACATATAATAAGTAATAAAAACTCTTTATAAATTTAAACTAAATAAAATATTTAATCAAATCATTAACTAGGAAAATATTTAGTTCTACTAAAAAATTAAATTCATGATCATGCTACAAATTTATAGTACATAAATTCTAACTTATAGTAGTTCAGAACAGTATTAAAACTTACAATAGCAGTGGTCTAATTAATTATTATCTAACAATAAAAATTATAATTGTTTTAATTTGACGCTGAAACAAAATCCAAATTCTTTTAAATTTCTAATAAACCAACAGTACTAAAAGGATTCAGGATTTGGTATTAGCAGTCAAACCAAGAGGAACTTAAGCGAAAAAGGATGCTCATCAATGCTTCTAAGAATAAGGTGTTGGTCCTTTCTCGAGATGAAGAAAAGGAAGTCGAGAACTTTTCTACTTAGGGACGAACATAAATAGACATGGTAAAGTAGATGGGGAAATAGCAAAAAGAATTGCTAAATTCAGCCAAATCTGTTATATTATTTTCAATAGTATTATATTGTTGACCATAGAGATGTGGGACACAAAATCAAGCTTTATATCTACAAATCAGAATACCTTCCTACTCTTACCTATGGGAGGAGCAAGAGCTGAATCATGCTGGACAAGCAGATAAATAGCTGAAATAAAGTACTTATGTAGGGCCGCAAGAAAAACCAGAAGAGACTGCGTAAGAAATGAAAAGATTAGGGAGGAGATGAAAATTCTAATGCACTAAAACCCACTCTTAAGACAGTTTAAGTGGTTCAGTCATGTTTGTCGAATGAGCAAAGACTGGAAACCCAGAAAGGTTATGGAAGCTCGACCTACTGGCAAGAGAGGTCAAGAATTTTATATGAAGAATATATTCAGAGGATTGGACAAAATAAATAAATGAAACAACTTTTCAGAGACCGTGAGGCTTCAGGCCCCTCCACACTAGATATGGCACAAAGAGGAAGATAGAGAAGAGAAGAAATCAAATGATGCTTTGGAACACTGCATTGAAGTGCTCTCTTTAAGCGCCTGATGATTAATATAGCTGTACTGGTGGCTAAACTAGATTAGCAAATGGGCTTTCTGGTCATTCGCCAACCCCTGATGTCTACGTTGTGATTGCCTACTTACTAGAGTGGGAGTGTCAAGAACAATTACCTAGAACCACTGAGAAATAAATATTAATCAACCTAGATGAGAATTGAACCCACATTGTTCAGAACCGAGCATCATTTTAGAACCTATGCCCCAAGCATGATCAGACATCAGGTCTTATTTGAAGGATTGCAGCCTATGGTATATTTCGATAAGGTAATTCTTTTCCTTATTGAGGCTACATTAGTATTGGAGCCTAGATAAATTTGCTATGGTGCATGCATCAAACAATTTTCCATAGCCATCCTACTTTTAATAGAAACATATATTTACACACACTCATAGGAAGTGAAAATTAAAATTATAAACACAAAATATCCATTAAAAGCAATTAATTTTTTTTCCCCTTCACCCACCTAATCTACTAAACCAATGCTTTTTTCATTACTTCCTTTCAATTTATATTAAAGATATTAAGATTTTTAAAATCATTAGCTTTATAACAGTATATATTAATATAATATACATCAATAGTACTTTTTTACTATCAGAAATTTGTTTTTAACCTGTGAAATCATTAATCTTTCAGTTAATAATGAAATCCTTCTATAGTTTCATATTTATCTATATTTAATTACTTCTAAAAATGGTTGTTCTAATCCAACAAAATTTAATATATTATAGAAGCTATTTTGAAAATTTGGTAGTTACACTTTGTCTATTTCATTAAGGATAACACCTACCTGATATTAAAGACTGTTGAATTCTTTATTTCTGAAACGGACCAGATGGGGTATCTATGGTTGAGTATACAAAAATAGTGCCCCACAATTTTTCTTCTGGTTCTTGTCCTGGATATTCCTATTGACTAGGCAACTAGATGTTATCACCCAAGAATGCTGTAGTTTCAGAGTACTATGGGTTTCAAAAATTGTTCATATTTCAATTTTTTTCTTACATCATAATTTTTTATATGAAGCGAAGCAGGTGAATTGAGCATGGTATTAAAATGAGCTCAAAGTGTTCTTATTTTATAAGAAAGAGAGAAGTTGTTACAAAGAACTTTTCTTAATTTTTCATATCAATTTAAAAATTGATTAATTAGCGCAATCATCAACTTAGTTTTTTCAAATAAGAGGCATTAATTTTTATTTTATATTCAAAGTCAACAAAAATTTCCTGAAGATAGATAAAAAGCAATATTTTTAAATAAAACATGGGAGTTTCTAGATTAATTTAGTGAACTAAATTTTAGACGACTGATTTACAAATAAATCTAGATTTCAAATGTTTAATGCAAATTTATTGGCTAGGCACTTTTTTTATTAGCTTATACACTATTGAATTAACGAAAAAATATATCTCAAGTTTTTATTATACCATAGCATTTCTCCCCTCTTGCAATTCAGTATTTTCATTTGAAGAATTCTTTTTTAAACAGTATCTTAACCTGTTGAGTTTTGGGCAGTGCAAATAGTCAAGTTAAAAAAAATAATATCTCACTTACAACAGACACAAACTGCTAAAATGTGACAAATTAAAATTACCATCCCAGAACTTTTACAAAATTATTTTTATTTTTATTCTTAGGCAAGTAAAAATCCAAAAAAAAAAAAAAAAAAAACCAAGCTTTTTTTACATCAATAATCAATAGTGTTATGATTATGATACATATGAATAACTATTGTTTTAAGACAAACATTGCTCCTATTACCACTTTAAAAAAAACTGATGATCTATTGTCATTTATATTTTCTGTATTCCACATTTTTGCTTTTTGCTCTTCCTTCTATGTTATCGTTAATTTTACTCAATCATTGCTCATTTTACTTACTGTTTGTCATTTTCCACCCCTCCAACCAATCTCGAACTGATATCTTGTACTAATTTAACAGTACTGATATTCAATTTATATGTACCTTGTACCAATTAATTTTTTTTTAAATCTTATTCTTTGAGTCCTGAAGATGCACAATGCAGGTTGAAACATAAGCAAATGAAATAAACACTACAATAATATATAGTAAGTATATAGACCTCCTCTGATCAATTTATCAAATTATAGTTAGTCAATTATCTATGTACCATTAATTAATTAATAAATCATTAAACCCATCACCCCAATTATGAGGTTTAAACAAAGTAACTAAGAATATTAGAAGCCATGGAGTAGGTACAAAAATTATTTAGGTGTCCATGGTCAGAGGCGACAGCGCATAGTATAGAGCCTTACCCCAATCACCTCCTTTATATCGAGATTGTAGTACTTAACCTTTTAATGTCAATTGAGCTGGAAGGATGGGGCTGCCTTGAGGATGCTACTAACACTTTTCTGAGCCCCTGTGACAGAATAATTTTCATCACATTTACCACCACTAAGGCTTCTTTACTTAGGGCATCGCTCAAACTTCTCTACTTTGTTTTTTTACCCACCTAATTACTTACTGCCTAATAGAAAGGCCATGAGATAGTTTAAAAAATATAATTCATTACTGAGCACCCTATCGTTTAATAAGAGCCTGACAAGCTATCAACTCAAATGAGTCCAATATCACCAGAACCACGGTTTTGTCTCATCTCATGTATAAGTCCATCATAATTAAAGAACCACGGTTTTGTCTCATCTCATGTATAAGTCCATCATAATTAAAAGTTAAATCTTTACAACTAAATATGAATTAATCTATGCCTTTCTTTTGACAATATGAATTAGCAACTTTCTCTAAAACTAACTAAACTTAAAATCTTCTTGACGCACACAAAAAAAAGTAGTGTTCTATCCCCTTATAGGAAAGTGAGGACTTTAATGTTTTGAATACGGATTAGACCGGTAACCTTATCTTGGAACATTAAAAAGATTTCATAAAACACATATATATCCACAGACATTTCATTTATATATTTCTCGTTGGCTGACTGACAGGTCTGATACGTAGCTAATTATGATTACAAA